CATGCAGCTGATATGTTGTCCAGAGCTCCCCTGAGAGAAGCAAGCTTACAAGAAGATGCAGTGAACTCATTTGTCAGAGCAGTCATAGAAAGCTTCCCAGCTTCGAAAACGAAACCGGACGAGATCAAAATGGAACAGGGCAATGATGAGGTTTGCCAGAAAGTTAACAGCTACTGCAAATCTGGATGCTGGCCTGATTACTGCAAGAAAGACCTAAGGCTGAAGCCATTCTGGACTGTGAGTCATGAACTTACCATGGCCCATGGACTACTCCTTTACAATGCAAGGATGGTGATTCCGACATCGATGCAAAAGGAAATCCTACGAAGAATCCATGAAGGTCACCAAGGAGTTGTCAAGTCTCGTGCATTTGCCAAGTCTTCAGTGTGGTGGCCAGGAATTTCACACCAGATCGAAGAGGAAGTACGGAAATGCTCAATCTGCGAAAAACACAGACGGCTATTACCATAATTATTTGTTGATCGTCGATTATTTCTCCCGATGGATAGAGATAGTCCTACTCAGAAAGACAACGTCGTCAACTGTGGTTGAACACTCAAAGTCTATATTTGCCAAGTATGGAATACCAGAGATTGTCATAAGTGACAACGGACCTCAGTTTGCTTCATGTGAGTTTGCAAACTTTGCAGAAACATACGGGTTTGAACATAAAACGAGCAGTCCAAAACATCCACAAGGGAACGGCGAGGCTGAAAGAGCTGTACAGACAGTGAAAAATCTTCTTCGAAAAGCAGATGACCCCCACATTGCCATTCTCAACTATAGAGCAACGCCACTCAAACAAGGACAAAGTCCAGCAGAACTTTTGCAAGGAAGACAGTTGAGAACCAAATTACCTAGTCTGCCATCTCAACTGAAACCTCAGGGCCGGAAGCTGAAGCAGTTTCGTTCTGTTGATAAACACATGAAGAACCAGCAGAAGAACTACTTCGATAGAAGGCATGGCGGTAAAAGACTTCAGAATTTCGAACGAAACGAAACTGTCTGGATTACAGAACCTAAGCTTGAAAAAGCATCAATCCTCAAACCCTATCAATCAAGAGGAGGAGATGTACATGAGAGGTCTTATCTTGTTGACACTCCAAGAGGGATGAAAAGACGAAATCGATCCCATCTACGCAGACGAAGCCTTGGTCCGTGTGATGAAAGGAAGTCAACACATGTGGCTACATCGCTGATCTCAACTCCAAGAGACAGGCTAAGTCAAACAGATGACAGACACCCTCCAGACAATGCTGTTATCGGAACCAAGTCAGGTGGTAATGGCAACAACAAATCATCGTCGTTGCCTGTGACTGCACCCAGGTGTGCATCACCACCAATGCAACACACCCATAGTGAGCAAACACAAACACATTACACAACACGAAGTGGCCGAGAGATTAAACCTCCACAAAAATTAACACTATAGGGTCGATGTCCTACAGACATACATGCTTTTGCGTGTAACAGAAATTGGCCTTTGTTAAGATGTGTAGCTATACAGCACTCTGGTCACAACAATTGCAACATACATTAAAGATTAGAAATTTTGCATACACATAAAATGCATCAGAATGCATTCACAGGTGCATTAGACATGCATCCTATTTCAAAGAATTTTTGAGTTTTGAAACATACACATTTAGGTGGAATTTCATACTCGTCTACTGAATGATACATGTACTTTAATTACAAAAGCCCAACACAAGGACATTTGATCAGTGGACATTGGATTTGTGAGGCACGGTTAAGCTGTTTCCCACTTATAGCTAGCTGACCAAGAAGTCTCAAGTTCAAGTTCTTGCTTTTATGCATCTACAGAAATTCGATGTCCGTTTTTCTGTTTGATCTAATTTTTTGTTTTATTCCTTTAATTTTTTAAAGTATAAATACTCTGCAGAGTCTATCCTCTCTAAAGAATGTAAAGTGTCTTCTGTTCCAAACTCAAGAAAGAGAGATGTGGTATAATCAATTAGCCAACCTGGCATTGTATTAGACAGCTACAACTGGTTGTACTACTCGAAAAATCTGGCTCGGAGTTGGCCTGCTAAACGCAATGATGGCTGAACGTTTAAATCTGTTCCTTTGTACAGACCGTTTTTTGTAACTTATTGTAAGTGACTTAAGTTACCCCGAGTGGCCTAAGTAGCCCCAGTTGACGGTAGGTAAAACACCATAGATTCTACTTAGGAGGAAGCACTGTTAGCAATTTACTTTCTCGCGTTTAATTCCGGCCGCGCTCTAGACCTACATCTAGACAAAAATCTATGCATCCCCAACTGGATATTTCTGACATTTCATTCTCTTCTTCTTCTTCTTCTTCTTCTTCTTCTTCTTCTTCTTCTTCTTCTTCTTCTTCTTGGGAACACTTTAACACTGTCAACAAAACACTTCAGAAACCATCACTCAACCTGGGAGTCGACTCTGCTAAATTTTGGACAATTATCTGTCATTTCATCCCAGATGTCACAGACGGTTGCAAACGAAGGGCTTGAATTGGGACCAACGTCAATTTTCTTCAGCTGCTGTTTCATGGGATATCACATACCTGTAGGATTCATATCGGGCTATTTACTGATGACCACTTCAACGTTGATATGGTATAGTTTTCCAAGAATTGTCTCGTGATAATATTGGCCTAATGAAAAAGTGATTTACCCTGAATGGAGACGTCTACTTGAATGACACCATGATGGAAATAAGGGTAAGACATGACATTCCAACACTTGCGCGATGTAGTCAACTAAAGCAAGCCATCCAATGATTCACATGTGGACGATTTAGTTCATTCCGTCCCAGACCACACAAAAAAAATGGCAGTTTCATGGCCTCTGCTCCTCACTGACAGATGATTAGTCCAAAATCTAACTTACACACCCATGTGCTAAAAGGTTTGTGCTCTACAAAAACACCAATAGCTCCTAAACAAAGGTAAAATCATACTAATGAGCACATTCAGTGTTAAGTCTAAGTGTTATTTGTAAGTAATCTGTTTTCGAACTGGTATGAAAATGTATTTCAGAAGATGCTGTTCATTGGAGAGACAACAATACTCTCTCTTCATTTGATATTCAATTCATAACCATTCCACCAACGTTGATGAACCTCAATACACGTGCAAACACACTTTTACGTTTCTTTGATTTCGCCCAATTTAGCCAAGCCAGAGTTTTAACGGTCAATATTTTAAGTGACCATATCTCGAGCATCTCTGAACATAAGTGACATATTATTGTGTCAGATGATGCAGGATTTATTTAGCTTTAAATTGGCCTACTGCATGAGTGGGTAGTGCTGGCTTTAACATGACGATTGGGTGATTACATTAATGAGACTAATGCGATTCTCCTACACTGTGTGAACACAGCAGGAAAGAATTTGCATGCAGCTGATATGTTGTCCAGAGCTCCCCTGAGAGAAGCAAGCTTACAAGAAGATGCAGTGAACTCATTTGTCAGAGCAGTCATAGAAAGCTTCCCAGCTTCGAAAACGAAACCGGACGAGATCAAAATGGAACAGGGCAATGATGAGGTTTGCCAGAAAGTTAACAGCTACTGCAAATCTGGATGCTGGCCTGATTACTGCAAGAAAGACCTAAGGCTGAAGCCATTCTGGACTGTGAGTCATGAACTTACCATGGCCCATGGACTACTCCTTTACAATGCAAGGATGGTGATTCCGACATCGATGCAAAAGGAAATCCTACGAAGAATCCATGAAGGTCACCAAGGAGTTGTCAAGTCTCGTGCATTTGCCAAGTCTTCAGTGTGGTGGCCAGGAATTTCACACCAGATCGAAGAGGAAGTACGGAAATGCTCAATCTGCGAAAAACACAGACGGCTATCACCATAATTATTTGTTGATCGTCGATTATTTCTCCCGATGGATAGAGATAGTCCTACTCAGAAAGACAACGTCGTCAACTGTGGTTGAACACTCAAAGTCTATATTTGCCAAGTATGGAATACCAGAGATTGTCATAAGTGACAACGGACCTCAGTTTGCTTCATATGAGTTTGCAAACTTTGCAGAAACATACGGGTTTGAACATAAAACGAGCAGTCCAAAACATCCACAAGGGAACGGCGAGGCTGAAAGAGCTGTACAGACAGTGAAAAATCTTCTTCGAAAAGCAGATGACCCCCACATTGCCATTCTCAACTATAGAGCAACGCCACTCAAACAAGGACAAAGTCCAGCAGAACTTTTGCAAGGAAGACAGTTGAGAACCAAATTACCTAGTCTGCCATCTCAACTGAAACCTCAGGGCCGGAAGCTGAAGCAGTTTCGTTCTGTTGATAAACACATGAAGAACCAGCAGAAGAACTACTTCGATAGAAGGCATGGCGGTAAAAGACTTCAGAATTTCGAACGAAACGAAACTGTCTGGATTACAGAACCTAAGCTTGAAAAAGCATCAATCCTCAAACCCTATCAATCAAGAGGAGGAGATGTAGGCCTACATGAGAGGTCTTATCTTGTTGACACTCCAAGAGGGATGAAAAGACGAAATCGATCCCATCTACGCAGACGAAGCCTTGGTCCGTGTGATGAAAGGAAGTCAACACATGTGGCTACATCGCTGATCTCAACTCCAAGAGACAGGCTAAGTCAAACAGATGACAGACACCCTCCAGACAATGCTGTTATCGGAACCAAGTCAGGTGGTAATGGCAACAACAAATCATCGTCGTTGCCTGTGACTGCACCCAGGTGTGCATCACCACCAATGCAACACACCCATAGTGAGCAAACGCAAACACATTACACAACACGAAGTGGCCGAGAGATTAAACCTCCACAAAAAATTAACACTATAGGGTCGATGTCCTACAGACATACATGCTTTTGCGTGTAACAGAAATTGGCCTTTGTTAAGATGTGTAGCTATACAGCACTCTGGTCACAACAATTGCAACATACATTAAAGATTAGAAATTTTGCATACACATCAAATGCATCAGAATGCATTCACAGGTGCATTAGACATGCATCCTATTTCAAAGAATTTTTGAGTTTTGAAACATACACATTTAGGTGGAATTTCATACTCGTCTACTGAATGATACATGTACTTTAATTACAAAAGCCCAACACAAGGACATTTGATCAGTGGACATTGAATTTGTGAGGCACGGTTAAGCTGTTTCCCACTTATAGCTAGCTGACCAAGAAGTCTCAAGTTCAAGTTCTTGCTTTTATGCATCTACAGAAATTCGATGTCCGTTTTTCTGTTTGATCTAATTTTTTGTTTTATTCCTTTAATTTTTTAAAGTATAAATACTCTGCGGAGTCTATCCTCTCTAAAGAATGTAATTGTAATGAGTGTCTTCTGTTCCAAACTCAAGAAAGAGAGATGTGGTATAATCAATTAGCCAACCTGGCATTGTATTAGACAGCTACAACTGGTTGTACTACTCGAAAAATCTGGCTCGGAGTTGGCCTGCTGAACGCAATGATGGCTGAACGTTTAAATCTGTTCCTTTGTACAGACCGTTTTTTGTAACTTATAGTAAGTGACTTAAGTTACCCCGAGTGGCCTAAGTAGCCCCAGTTGACGGTAGGTAAAACACCATAGATTCTACTAAGGAGAAAGCACTGTTAGCAATTTACTTTCTCGCGTTTAATTCCGGCTGCGCTCTAGATCTAATATAGATCTAGACAAAAATCTATGCATCCCCAACTGGATATATTCAAAACTTTGCGCTGGAGTTAAGAATACGTAAACCACGGCAATGTCCTCATGTGTAGGTAGTAACATACTACATGTATATTGGCTTCAAAGTCCTTCTGTAATGATTTTGATGGCCATTGAGTGAGTATAATATTCTCATACAGATCAGGGTGGTCGCGCGATACGGTAGTCCTCCCCCGGAATTAAACGCGAGAAAGTAAACAACTAACTAATGCATTGATCGGTCTAAATTCTGGGTCACTGTTACCCGTTTAAAAGTATACATGCATATAATGTCGAGCTCACGCTTGGCACCAGGAACCTCATCATGCTCAGGATAATTACGTTGTTCTGACATTTGATTCCCTCCTCCTCCTACTCCTCCTCCTCCTCCTTCTTCTTCTTTTTCTTCTTCTTGGGAACACTTTAACACTGTCAACAAAACACTTCAGAAACCACCACTCAACCTGGGAGTCGACTCTGCTAAATTTTGGACAATTATTTGTCATTTCATCCCAGATGTCACAGACGGTTGCAAACGAAGGGCTTGAATTGGGACCAACGTCAATTTTCTTCAGCTGCTGTTTCATGGGATATAACCTGTAGGATTCATTATAGGCCTATCGGGCTATTTACTGGTGACCACTCCAACGTTGATATGGTATAGTTTTCCAAGAACTGTCTCGTGATAATATTGGCCCAATGAGAAAGTGATTTACCATGAATGGAGACGTCTACTTGAATGACACCATGATGGAAATAAGGGTAAGACATGACATTCCAACACTTGCGCGATGTAGTCAACAAAAACAAGCCATCCGATCAGGGGCGAAGGCTGACTTGTTTGACAGGGTAATCAAAGTGAAATGGGACCAGATAGGGCCTGGAAATATCACACTCACACAAGTCACAAGAATCTTACTGGCACTGGAGGCGGCAACTCTGAGTTGTGAATGAAAACAAATCCTGAATTCATGTTGTATGCTTGTTCAACCGCTAAAATAATCGGGAAAGTATTTCATTAAATATATATTCT